ATGTACGAGCTAGAGAATATTGAATTACACATATAAAAAAAAGATTAAGAGTGTATAAAGAGGTGGGAGTTTGAATGAATTAATGCAAAACTCATAAAATATATGGATGAGAACAAGGAGAAAAATAAGTAAGGTATATTTTGAGTCCAATGTTAGGAATTAAAAACTGCAGTAATTAATGCAAGCTACCAAAACATATCATTTAATAAACTGATAATGAATATGTGATTTTAGATAAAATAAAATGCACAGACATTTTCTTCACACATTGTTTAAGTATTTTCTTGGTACAAGCTTCCAAATCCAATTCTGGAGTTTTCATCAGACACAATTTTGTTAGCATAAAATTAACCACAATTACACAAAGTGTGGAAAAATGAGTCTAGGCATTTTGTTAAGAATAAGTTGTTGTGCAGGACTGAAATATGGTAAGGTTTATTTATGAAAGCTTGACTTTGAGTGTATTAATAGAAAAGCACTTGAGTAAGGAAGTACATTATGTTAATAGGTAGGAAAATAATGATTTATAAGCATAAGGAAGAATTTTATTGATGGTGGAACATACTATATGTTTCAACAGGACATTGGTCTTTCTTATTCATACCTACAATAAAATTCTTCCTTATGCTTAGAATTGTTGTTTACCAACCTATTATTAATGGAAAGGCAATAAAATATCAACCACTCCCACTAAATTTTCCCCTAAAAATATCATTCTGGATCAATGAGATATTTATGAGTTTTGTCTTAAGTTTTATCAAGAGCAGTCTTGGCAGACATGTATTAATTCTGTCATGCCTGGATGGATGCATTGTTTGTTTTGAACAAAATAGCACTAATTTAACCTTGTAGCTTGATTACAGATATAATTTTATTAAATTTTAGCCAATTACTGTTTTTCAAACTTAGTTGTCATGATGCAACATATATGCCTATGTCCTAGCTTCAAGAAAAAATGGTTAGTGATCAAAACACATAATGAAATATATATTTCTTTTTGTTTCAATGATATCAGTAAATATGACTTTCAGTTCAGAGTATATTCAAGTTGAGATCAAATCAAAGTGAAAAAAGTAGCTCAGTGATATGTTGCTAAAAGAGGAGATGTCTATGAACAACTTCTGCCACAATTACAGACCTGATTTTTTAAAAGCTTACTTTACCATTTTATACTTCATTTGAATTAGAACATTGCAGCATGATATGAAATGTTTTTCATGGAACAAATTGATGTAGGCTTAATTAAGTCACTTTGCACTCAAACATATTAAGTTTCATTTTACTGACAAGCTGCTGTTTTAAGATTTATTGGCCAAAGAAAACATTTGAATGGGTAAAGAAAATCATAGAAAAGAAATGTAAAAAAATTGTATATGTATATATATATTAAAGAAAACCTTCTGATTAACAATTAGAAAAAAGTCAGATTGTTGATAAAGTTTAGTTTTATAAAATAGAAACTTTATAGGAAAGTTTTATGAGAATGTAAGAAGACAAAAAATTCAGTAATTAAAAACTAAAGTAAACATTTTCAATTGTTTTTCAAAAAATTACAATGAAACATTTTCAAATTTTCAAAACTATGAATTCCTATAAATATCACTTATAAGAAAGGAGATATTTTATTTGCAAAAGCTACATAATGTGTAGAAACTTCTTCTGAAGTTTCAAACAATTCCATCCCCCCACACACAACAAAATAACACAAACTACACAGCAAGTGCATCAAACAGGCGTGGTAGTTAATAATATTAGCATAACTGTAATTTAGAGTTGTGAACATGAAAGGAGGATTTAGCTTTACTATTAAGGTCCATGCTACTGTTTCAGTATTAAACACAACACAATTTTTGGACATTAACTGACTAGGTGTATTTTAAGGAGGAACACTGATTACTATAATATATACATAAAATCATGAATTTAAATGAATGTTGTTAAAGTGGATATATTTGTTTTTGATACCCATCTCATGAATTGCTCATTACAAGAGCCAGACCTATTAATCTTTGGGTGTTTTTGTTTTTTTTGAGATAGTAGCCAGAACTGGCATTTCATGTTTAGTTTAAGTACTCATACCCTAAAAAGCCCATACTTTCTAACAAAGATGCTTTGAAAGCAGTTAAAATGCAAAACTCCAGAAAATATTTTGTATTATGTATGAACAATTATCAATTAAAGACAAATGCATAAACCTTATTAAAAAAAAATAAGGCTTAATATTCTTAATTAAATAACTTATGTGCAAATAAAGAAAAATGAACAAAAATGTATCAATACACAAACTTTGGCTTACCTTTTCTGATTTCTCAGGATTTTTAGTGGTAATAAAAGACTGTGCTCTTTCAGCCAATGCTTGAAGTCGCCTGTCATTTATCCTAGAAGATCTCCTAGATGGCGTACTGTTTAACACTATCCTTTCTTTCATAAAACCTGATAAATTTTCAATGCTGTTTTCTGTTTCATCTCCAATTTTGTTAGTTTGATCAACAGTTTCAGTTTCCTTTTGAGACTGTTTATCATCTTTGAAAGTGTGCAATTCTAATGATTGGCTCCTTATTTCATTTTGTACTGGTTTATTATTATTATTACTAAAATTTTGACTGTCATAAATTTTATCATCCTTACTCTCTAGTATACTTGAATCAGAAACACAAGTATTATTGATTTTATTTGATTCTTGTTCTATCTTGCATTTTGATTGTTCCTTTTTATGTTGGTTATTAATGTCATTAGTGTCAGTGATGTAATTTAAATTGTGGTCTAATGTAACAGAAGAACTGATATCATTCTCTTGATCTTCAGTTTCTCTCTGAGTTTCAGACAAATCTGATCCAACAGAAGTCATGATGATAGTATTGAAATCCTGCCTCTTAAAATCTGTTTCCCGGTCTTCCCCACAGACTACTATATTTTTACCAGAAGACTTTTGCTTTTCTTCAGATGCATCCAGTTTGATATCTTTGCAGTAGAGATGATCAGATTTTAATCTGTCATCACCTTTGTCATCATCATTACAAAGATCTCCTGAATAACTATCCAGTTTGCACTTAGCTTTACTGGAAACTGAATCCAGTACATCATTATCAAACTGCTCTTCTAAAGCAGACTTATCACAATCCTTGTATGAATTCAAGAATTCTTTTTCACAATTATACATGTCATCTTCATTGTCCTTTGAGTAATCATCAAAATTTTTTGTACAACTATTGATGTAAGGTGAAGCCCCAAGCTCTTCTTTCTTTTTATGAACTTCGTCTTTAACAATGTCTTCTAACCGTTCTTGTTCTTCATTCATTTCATACTTAAAAAAAACCATCAAATAATTAAATCAAAAATATGACATTAAACAGGATTTTAACAGATCTGCTAATGTTAAGTCAAAAAATAATATGTATAAAATATTAAAGCTAATACTGCCATAACAACATAAATGTGGATTTTTCCAATATTAGAGTTCCCACAGTCTTTAAATTCCAAATATATGCTATTTCCATGCTGCTTTATAAAGCAGGGTTCATACAGACTTTACAAAAGAAAATTCCAAGACTTCTTTTTAGGACCCATACTTAAAGCTACAAGACTCTTGAATACATCAACATAAATTGCAGTAGTCTCAGGTCTTGCAGGTCATGAAATGAAAAGTAAACAAACCTGTCTATTATTTCAGGGGGGAATCTTTTTTTATTGAAATTAGAATTTTAGGACTTTTCCCATATATACATGTACCATTTAAAAATATATAAAAAAATAAAATATTCGCTCTCTAAAATTTTATTATACATAGGTTGTTGGTGGCAAAATTAGCTCCATAAAGTTATCCAACTTTCTTGCAATTGGATAACCACTACTCTCCCATATAATTCAATTGAAACCAAGCAGGATTAAATTACTATTGCTTACAAGGCAGAAGGACATAGTAGTCACATATGGCATTTTTATAGGCACAAATAACGAAACATTTTTTGAAAAAGGTAAGGATGATATATAAGGATGGCAATGCCAAAAAGTACAGAAACAAGGTCGGGATGAGTACAAAAACAACCATACCAAATACCATATATAATTAGCCAAATCTTTCCAAAAAAACTTATTTACAACTAATTGTTTAATTCCTTTTACTTGCATAAATTCAGTTTGGAATAAAAGCATTCAGACTGAATAAAGCTATAAAGTCTTAGAATGGATAATTCCCATAAGCTTGTAACACCAACTCAGTGGCTTCTTATGTAGAGATTTTTGTATGGTTTTGTGTATTCATCCCAATCTTGTTTCTGTACTTTTTGACATTGTCATCCCTACCTCATCCTTATTTTTTAATCAAAATTTATTTGTTACTTATTTCCCCTATTTTTTTTTAAACAATACTAATGAATATTTTATAATGAATAGCAGTCACTATGAAGGCAACAGTTTTAGCCTGGTGTGATGAGTTGTCTTGATGGACATCATGTGTTGAAGTTAGTGAAACACTATACTGATTCTGCACTACCCAAGTTAAAATGCAACATCTTGGTATGTAAATCATCACAAAAACTTCACATATTAGAGAACTAGCCCTTCTGATGCCAGAATCAGAAAAATCAGCAGAACATTTGGCTGTTATGCTACTCGTCGATTCTCTACTTTTTTGGCTAAACCGAAGGTCTTAATAGCCTCTGAAAAGCTCAAAAACCTAAGTTAGGTGCTTTTAAAAGTATCTTGGATTGTATAAGAGATTTGAGACTATGATAAACAATACATAATATGCGTAGGCCATTTTTTCCCAGCCCATCCCTACACACTAAGCACTATCGTGTTTTGTGATAATTTACTATTGTTTACTCACAGCAACTTAGAACTGAAAAAGAAACATGGTACTTGATTATGGTCTTTGGATTTGTAAAGTCTCAAACCCCAATACATTGCTGAAACTCAATGAAGATTTTATCAAAATCATATTTCTGGTCTGGAAACTCTCAGTGTCAGTACCATTTGGTTTATTTAGGATGAGTTGACAGCAGAAATGCAATGAGTGTTACCCTCTTGAGGAAGAATAACTGATAATGGGTACAAGTGTAAATAGGTGAATTAAAAGGAAAGAAAAATTTAATGATTACTCTACAAAAAAAATAATAATAAAAGAATCATAGAATATCTTTTGTATATACGGTATTTAAAGGATATTTGATGATATCAAACTGTACTATATCAGTGATATTATACACTGTGCATGTATATTCACATAAATAATGGGACTTCATTGCAACACATGTATGGACTTTATGATCGTGACCCAATCTCTTGAATTAATGAAGTTGAACTGTAATGTATTTCCAAGTGTGCAAGAAAGAATAAAGATACAAACAACTCGTCGTGTTATTTTCACAACAATCAGTAACATTAGTGTAATTTTATGATTTTCTAACAACTTATATACCCTGAACAAACTCTGTATATGTTCAAAATGTTTCTCCTAAGTCAACTGTTTTTCACACTACTCATAAGTAAAAACCATTAGAAATGCACAGTTGTTATGTGATCGATCCTCGAATTAATTATCTAATTTGCTTCAGGATAACTTCAAACATATCTATTTCAACAAAAGAAGTATTTCAACATTAGTTCTTTCTTAAGAGAATTCTATAGCATACCATCCATTTTAATGAGAAATTACTTAAAATTTTACTTTTCTTTTACTCTACCTGAGGATAATCACACCAGTCTGGGATGGTTTCACTCGGAATTGCTTGATCTGTCCAAGGAGCTGTACGATAAATCCTAATCTCCTGACCCCAGAAATGTGGAAAGTAAATGTACGTGTTACCTTCTCTATCTTTGCCTAGTGCTTGCTCTTTCTGGTCTTCTACAGGTAGTTCGTTCAAACTCTCTGTTATCGTACTGTGGCTGTGCTATAAAGGTATAGTATGATGAGAAGCAACCTCACTGTCAGACAGTTATAAAAGAGAAATCCAACTTAAGTATTAATGTTATACCTAATTTTAAAAATACGTTAACTGAAGGTTATATTATTTCCAATGAAAGCAATAATATTGTATCGTTCTCATCGTATTTTGTCTAAATCTCTACTGCGACATTCAGTTTTCCATAACTGAGATCAACAAAATGTCAAGTGTAACAGTCTTGTAAAGCACCCACTACCTTATCCTTTGCAATTTGAAATAATTTCAAAAAATATATTAACACTTAACCTACCAATATTTTACCTGTTGGTCAAGGTGCCATAAGTTTTATTTTAAACCTTTCCTAATTATATAACCTTATAGTGTAATAAATTCAAAACAGAAAAAAATATTCTTAAGCTTTACAATCAGACTGAAGGTAAGTCAGTTGTTTAGTATTCAAACTAAAAGCAAAAAAAAAGTACAGTAGTTCTGTATTGCCATTATACCAAGAGAAATGTTTCTTACATTGCTGAAAAAAATCCTAAAATTAATTAATCTATTTTGATTAATCTTTTCTCTCTTGCTTTTTACTTGTTTTAAGTGCTAATTCTCAGTATGACCACTACTTTTATCATTAATAATGTTTTTCATTAAAACAAATCCTTCAAAAAAAAACTTATTTTCGATGAAAATCCTCTTTATTATTCACATAAACTATAAGAATCAAATTAAAATTTTTAGCAAAATAATTACTTATCTACTCTATTCTGAAGTTCGGTCTCCACCAAAAAAAGTTTTACCTTAAAACTACAATGGCTGAATATTAAAGACATTAAACACCAAACTTTGAGTCATCATTTAAATGCACTTAGATAATTAAAACCACTCTTCTGAAATGCTTTAATGAATCACAGTTATCTATTTTTTTGCAGGAAGTACAAAATAAACCATTAAAATAATTATTCGTTAACAGGAAACTAACCAGACAATAATCACAGAGAGACTTTACTATCCAAACCTTCTGCTGCAAACTCAGCTTATGGAATGGTTTGTGCTCAAGAAGATTTGTAGGTCCTGCAAATTTACAAAATAATTTTGATTATTAATTTACTATAACACAAATAACATTATCTTCCCAATGACTATATATTATGAAAGGTTTTTTCTATAATTTATTAAGTATGTTTGTATATTTCTTTGTCCACACAGTTTGGCAGTTAGTATATTTAAACCTTGCATGCAGGCACGTGTGTGTTTATATATATAAAAAAACATACTTAATAAGTTATAGAAAAACCTTTCATCTGTGTGTGTTTATTTCACAATTATCTGTATTGCATAAAAGGTGGACAGGCAATTACTCAGCTGTGCACAGCCCTGACAAGATAATTATGTAAAATTACAACATTTTTATTATAGATATACAGGTCAACATATACATGATTGAAACAGCAAAACTGTAACAAAACAAAGTAAAATTATACCATATATATACAAAAGGATGAATATTATAGGTTTCTATATTCTTTACAGCTTCTTCACCTCATCGATGGAAACAATTTTAATATCATAACTTATAATAAAATGCAACAGCTTTGAAACATATACAAATGTTTTTTAATGTTATTATGTAGTTATATATACAAATTCTTACACAGTGCATATCAAATGATTTTATTGCATTAATATATCATCACAATCCTAGAAGTACAAAAATGTCATGTTACATCAAACTTAGCATGAAAATCAAAATACTTAACTTGTAACATGGGTCTTTTTTACTGCATTCATTCAGGAAATAAATAGTTTAACTCTTTCAGCAAAGGCTCGGTCCCCGAGACCGACCTCATAACCATTTTGTGCTTGTTATAGTTTTTCATGCTATAACTTTTAAATTAGTAAGCAAATGTTAATGAAATTTGGCAGATTAAAAATTAACATTACAATGCTTTCATATGCAAAATATCAAATTTTTATTAAGAGTTAAGGTTTGTAATGTAGTGTTTTTTTCGTGCCTTTTTTTTCTTTTTGCATGTTGCCTATCTATCATGCAAAGTAATATTCATTTTAAGATTAAAAATACTTTTATGCATCAGAAAATTTTCAAATTTCATATCAGAAATCTTTATAATGTCCAGATAGTTATTTAACGTTTCTTAAGAAAAACTTTATATTTTATCTGTTATTTTCAATAATGAATCTCTGTACGGGTTCAGTAGATTTGACGATCTCATAACCACCATAAAAAATTAGGAAATAAATATAAATTATGCCTCTTTCATTCTAGAATGAACACAAATTATAACACGCAAACATAAATGTTTAGACTAAATAGCTTAAATCTCATAATATTTTACATTTATATATATTTATTATTTCTATTATATTGACCTTTCAGCCATGTCTGGCTAACAATACAGAAGTTACAATGTCGTGGCACATGTACACTCATGTTACCGTATCCAATAACATAAAACTGACCTTTGGTCTATAAAAAGTAATTTATCTTGGCTGTGTTTTAGTAGACTAATATTTTCTAAAACTTATTTTTCTTCAAACATAGAAGAGTAAATAAAGAAATAAAGCAAACTATTATCTCTTCAAGTTACAACCTTTGTACTCGGTTGCTGCTGGATGTAGGTTGCTAAGTCTTTAAAAATTTTGCACGTGGAGGACATGAAACAAAATAATGTTTTTAGGTTTTATATATATATAAATGTATTTTTTGAATAACTAAAAAATTATAAATTACTACATTAATACCATAGAATTCCACTACAATTTATCAAGCTTAGTAACTAAGATGTATTTTAGTCTAAAAAATATGAAATTTGAGCAGACTAAAGACACACCCTGCCTCGTTGAAATATTGGTGCAAAAGAAAGAAATGGTATCAAGCCCATTA